CCGGCTGGTCAGTTGCTCCATGTCACCATAAGTGATTGAGGTGTCTTAGCACGGACTTGACAACAATGCCCGCACAACGCGTCTCCTGATCCAACAGTCCTGGCAGATGGTGTCAATACATGGCTTTGTTGTCAAAAGTAATAATGAACTTCATTACATACATATGGTCACTAAAGTTGTCTAAGAGCATGGATCCACGGATTAGTATGAGTGAATTATGATCAAATTAAAGGGATGTGTAGTACATTCTAGCCTCCTCTTTCTATGGGTTTGTTCTGTTCTCCACAGTGGAAAAAATCTGAATTGGTCATTCTTGTAACTAGCTAGAAGATGATGGATGGCGCCTTAATACGGTAACTAACGCACGTGCCAAATAAAGCATTAATCTCTTTAATTACATCAAAAAAGTGGAATACCAACACATATGTATAGCCTGATGAAACCCGAATATATAGCAGTACTGCTCACTGCTCAGATGAAATGCATTTATTAGCTGATCAATCGCTAGCATCAGTGCTAGACCTTTCAAGTATCAGAGATAGATCGATGGTGCATGGGTGCAAGCAATCGCAGACCCATTGTGTCTTCTTTTCCAATGCATGCAGGGATCCTTCCTCCCGGTAGTGCCCACAAGATCTGTGTATCACGCATATGGATCCATGGTGTGTCTCGTTACCTCCCGCGAAGGTGCAGTAGCCCCTTTCGGTAAGAAGGCCCACGCGGCGTGCCATCGCCAGCCTTGCTTGCCAACACCCAAAGGCACCACACGCAGCAGCAGAGATCGATCGAGCAAGCATCACCGCATCATGCATAGGCATGTGATGATCATGAGTTCATGACAGAATCGAAAGGAGAAGAAGCTCTCTGCTTACATGCTGTCTGTTTTACATCATATCGTCAGTTGATCCATGAACATCTATCGATCCGATCCCTTGGGCCGACCGGGATAGATATTGGACTGGCTGGCAGATGGTCGGCAAGATATCATCTGGAACCTGGACGGCATCACGCGGCAGAAGTATAATGTGAGTGAAGGGTCCCGATTTTCAGGGAAAAAGCAGCAGCTGAAAGATGCATGCATGGTCCATGCATGCACGAATTGGAAGAAGAAAAAGAGAGGCCATCGCGCGGCCATGATGGGCGAGAAGAAGGCTACTGCCAAGGTACCATGCACCTTTATTTGTGCATCAAACCACAAAGGGGACGCGTGGTACGGCTTCATTTGTTTATATAGTCACTAGTTACAGCAAAGTTTGCTTTCATCTCCAAAGGTTACGGTTATCATGAGAAGTAGTAGATCCCACAGATGGATGCTCGAACTGGAAGCTACCTAGTAAGGTAAGATCGACTACAAACATTATTCCACAAAAGGAGGAGCATGAGCGTCGATATGATCGATGACGATGTATTTGTATATGTACTTACTTCATGTTGAAAAACCGGGTTTTGAACCTCTCCGATGGACCTGTGGGGAACTCCCCCACAGTTTTTTGCCTTAAAAAAAACCTCTCTGGTGGACACCGGATTTATATCATGGTCCACCCACCAAAGAAAAACCAAGATATAGACTAGAGAAAAACCAAGATATATGCTCTATTAGATTTGATTCTTGCTATTTACTTTCAAAGGGTGTTAATGGGGTGCAGGCTAAATTCGTTGGTACTCCATTATGGGCACAAAGAAAAAAGTTATTTGGGTACCAAAGAGTTTAATAAAAAGAATTTTTTTTTGAAAAATGACACAGTACAACACAAAAGCTCACAACACGCACGCACACTCACCCCTATGAACACACGTATGCAAACCTTACCCTTTTGAGCACCTTCGTAGGACTGAGCCAGCAGATCTCGAGATTCACAAAGTCACCATTGGCGCGTCGTTGTCGACGAAGACGTCGCCTACCACTGAAAGCATAGCGCCCTTAAATCCTAGAATAAATCCAGGAAAATGCGAGCACTCGTGTCAATTCGAGGACTTGAACCCGGGTGGGCAGGTTCCACCACAAGAGACCTAACCAACTAATCTATGATCAGCTCCTTGTAGGTTAACTACAAGGCCCAAAGAAAGCATTGAGTATTTGATGGTGGGTGCATTCAACGGATGACCAGTTATCACAAGATCTTCAACTCAATTGATACAAATGGTTGTTATGATTATGATAGTATCATATTTAGTGACAATGACAAGGGCAATGAACTGTTTTGGTAAAATTCCTATCTCAAATGATCTTTCAATACCAATGTGTTGATAGTAGAAAGCTTGAATTTCAACTTACTATTGGCTACCCAAAAGGATTTGGACTCCAATGGGCTAAGCAAAAGAGGATTTTGAGTCCTCTGCTCTAACCAGCCGTATGTGATTTGGAGTTCAAATGCAAAAGAAAGAAAAAACAGTGTAACCTAATCAGGAGTGATGCTCCCATTCAATATTTTCCTCACGCATCATTAATTTATATTTGTAAATACTTATCTTAATATTAATTCACCCCACAATTTGCATATCTATGTTGTTGAAAATTCAAAGTTGTCTAACTATTGAGGATGATTATTTTTCAAAATGTTTCTTACCTTTATAAATATTTACAACCTCAAGTTTGAGAGTTCCATCGTTTCGTATTTTCATCTCAAATCAGCTCAGGAATTAGTTAATAATGTGGAGTTATGAAAGGGCAAATTTGAGATTCCATATATTATTCAAATGCATGCTCTTTTTTTTTTTTGAACTTCAAATGCATGCACTTTTGGATCGATAGTATTATAGTAGTATTCATTAAAGAAATTAAAGGTAAAAGATTGCCTGGGCCTTCTACACACTGATTCCTTGTGGAGACTGCCTAATCATATCTTGTGAACACGGACCTTTTCAGTAGTGTACTTTTCTGTCACACACATCACCTTTCTTTAACTTTTCCTAATACATATACTATAATCTTCATCCAGCTTTTATTGTTCCTTCGATTCGATCTGTCCCGTGCCCCCTAAGTCCTTTAATTCATATATATAATCTTGGAAACTATCCAGCCCACGGTCTAGATGATACATATATGGAACTATCACATTATAATAGTGATCAATATGCATGCCAAAACATAAATATTTCTTATGTATATAGACATAATCTTTGTTGCAAATTATTGTGAGGTTGATGATTACAGTTTTTTTCACAAATGATTAATATAAAGTACATTTTTTTGCGACAAGTATATAAAGTACATGTCCTTGTCGCAAACAATGACTACGGCCATCTAGTGAATCACTGCATGTGATTCTAGTGTTATTGTTTCCCATGATGCTTAATTCCACTGATATTTTTTTTCTTTGAAACAATTTAGTGTCACTGATATTTTGTCATATCAAAAAATTTATACACCTGTGCCACCGTGATCTCAGGCAAATAAATAATTAGTGAGATCTTTTTAGGCTGTCATGTTGTTCCCTTTCTCTATTGATTTCCCTTTTTCCATTATTCAGTTCATCACAATGGATGATTGCTCCAGGGGGGCAATGGTGCTACACATTATTATGCTACACGTGTGACAACCAATTAGTTGTGCAATTGCCCTCTGAGGTGATGCTCGTACGGCAAAGATCTGAAGAAAGATTAAAAAACACATGAACAAAATCTCCTTAAGTGAGAGGACAATGTATATTTATAGGAAATTTGTTTGTGTCTAAAAGAAGAGAGTTGAAAGTTAGTGAACAAATGCAGGTCACCCGGATAGCGCCATTAATTTGTTAATAAATCGGAACATATATGTGCTACTATTATTTTGGCTATATGCCTATATCAACTCCTATGATCGTACATCATTACAGGAGCATGTTTATATATTAATGAACTTTTTAGCACAGCATTGTCCGTGTCCCTGTACTTCATTTTTATACTAACAAGAAATATCTCTCAACTATACATATATTGTGTTGCGCATTTCATTGTTTGCACACAAAATATATAGGTTATATAGCTACAAAGTCGATACATTAGGAGACCACATCCTTGAAATAAAAAAAATTGTACACTTAATTTTATACATTACTGGACATACTTCTGTTTGATCAAATACATTATGAGACCACCTCATTGAAATATAACTTATTTTGTCAAATACTACCTCTGTCCTAGAAGTATGCAATTCTAGGTTTGGTCACGTGTCAACATAAGTTTAACTGAGTTTGTTTATGCAAAAAAAAAGTATCAACATTTAAGACTATGAATACATATATTATGAAAATATATTAAATGACATGTCTGAGGGTACTTATTTATTATGTATAGTTTTAATATCTTTTTGTATAAATGTAGTCAAATATAGCTTGATTGGGCATATTATAGAATTACGTCTTTTTTGGATCGATCGGATAATATGAGGTTTTGATTTTCCACCACAAAATAAACCTTGTGTTTTTTAATTTGCATGGGTCCCACCGGTTACCAAAGCAAAGATCACAATCCATATCTAGCCAGATTGATTGCACATTCTGTTTGATGCATTTGCCCATATCTCCATCTCATCATCCTACCATCTAGCTAGCTACCCATCTTTCTTCTCTTCCCCAGTCCCCACTAATAATAATGAATAGGCAAACTACATATACGCTCGTGCACGGGTACTAAAAGCTATACACGTATGGACGATCCCTAAACTACCACTGTAGCTAACTCTGTAGGCACTGCACGTACAGCCATGAACAATCACTATCTATATGCAATAGGTCGTAAGGTCTCATCTATCTATCTATCTATCTATCTATCTATACAGCATATATAATAAATACAGAGGAAAAATTATTGAAAAAGAAAGATTTTTTTTTGAGAAACTGTTGGAAAAGAAAGATGAGAAGCTGCATGCCAGCAGCCGCATGGCCCAGGCCGCTCGTGCGCTGCCCCATCTCCATGATTCGCCAGCTCGAGCCTAGGCGCCTAGCTATATAGTACTGTCGTCGCAGCAGTGCGATCAGGAGAGATCGTTCGATCAGGAAGTTAGAGAGAGGAGGCGCAGCATGGCGTCGGAGAAGGTGGAGACGATCGTGGCGGGGAACTACATCGAGATGGAGCGCGACGTCGGCGGCAGCGGCGGAGACCATGGCCAACCCGCCGAGCCGGCGGCGGCGTCCGGGGCCAGCGGCGGCAAGAAGCTGGCGCTGTCGAGCCTGTTCTGGCACGGCGGGTCGGTGTACGACGCGTGGTTCAGCTGCGCGTCGAACCAGGTGGCGCAGGTGCTGCTGACGCTGCCCTACTCCTTCTCGCAGCTCGGGATGGCGTCCGGGGTGGTGTTCCAGATCTTCTACGGCCTCATGGGCAGCTGGACGGCTTACCTCATCAGCGTCCTCTATGTCGAGTACCGCACCAGGAAGGAGCGCGAGAAGGTCGACTTCAGGAACCATGTCATCCAGGTAATATCATGTATATTTCTGAGAACAACAGCAAATGTTCAGCATGCATGTACAAGTAGTTGAAAGTCTACATCAATTGATGTTGCTGCCTTTTCTACTTTCTGGAGAGCAGTGGTTTGAGGTTCTTGATGGGCTACTGGGGAAGCACTGGAGGAACGTCGGCCTCTTCTTCAACTGCACTTTCCTCCTCTTCGGCTCCGTCATCCAGCTCATCGCATGTGCAAGGTAATCATCCATCCCATCCATGTGTTCATCACAACGATCAAATAAAGTCAATATCCAAAGTTGTATACTAAATTTCCTCATTGCAATAATGTTAGATGTTACATTGCTATATGCATGTGTAATCTTCTAATTACTCTGTGACCTGTACTGTGTGTGCACTAATCGATCCATGGATGATCGGGCAGCAACATCTACTACATCAACGACAAGTACGACAAACGGACCTGGACGTACATCTTCGGCGCCTGCTGCGCCACCACCGTGTTCATCCCCTCCTTCCACAACTACCGGATCTGGTCCTTCCTCGGCCTCCTCATGACTACCTACACCGCGTGGTACCTCACCATTGCGGCCATCGCGCACGGTCAGGTATATACGCTGACTGTGTGATGCGGTCAATTGATCGGTTGATGCTCGCCTTTCGCCAACAGCTAGCTTAAGCATGGATCACAAAATGCATGGTCATGTATCCATCATTGAACGAACGACATTGTAGGTGGAAGGTGTGACGCACTCGGGCCCAAGCAAGATGGTGCTCTACTTCACGGGGTCCACCAACATCCTCTACACATTTGGAGGCCATGCTGTCACTGTGTAAGCCTGCCAGCCTACCAATCTTGACCCACACAGATAGAATGATTTGCCCTTGATGCTGCATGAATAACACACACGAATCTGTTCAGATCAGAAGTTGACAGGTCACTTCAGACTGAAGGGCTACTTGCGTGACAATGTGTGTAGTGCATGCATATCATGGATCACTCCAACGCCTTGCACTGTTTTTTGTTGGTGGTGCAGGGAGATCATGCACGCGATGTGGAAGCCGCAGAAGTTCAAGCTCATCTACCTGGTGGCCACGCTGTACGTGCTGACGCTGACGCTGCCGTCCGCCTCCGCCGTCTACTGGGCCTTCGGCGACATGCTCCTGGACCACTCCAACGCCTTCTCCTCCTCCGCGCTCCGGCTTCCGTGACTCCGCCGTCATCCTCATGCTCATCCACCAGGTATACAAACTAGCTGATAGTGAAAAAACACACGAGTCCGGCCTAAAGATCAATTGTCATCCATGCATGATCTGTGTTGCTCAACCGTCGCATGCATGTGTGCAGTTCATCACGTTCGGGTTCGCGTGCACGCCGCTCTACTTCGTGTGGGAGAAGCTGATCGGCGTGCACGAGACCGGGAGCGTGGCGCTGCGCGCCGCCGCGCGTCTCCCCATCGTGGTGCCCATCTGGTTCCTGGCCATCATCTTCCCCTTCTTCGGCCCCATCAACTCCACCGTGGGCTCCCTGCTGGTCAGCTTCACCGTGTACATCATCCCGGCGCTCGCGCACATGGCCACCTTCGCGCCACCGGCCGCCAGGGAGAATGCCGTGGAGCGGCCGCCGCGCGGGATCGGCAGCTGGGCCGGGATGTACGCCGCCAACTGCTTCGTCGTGGCGTGGGTGCTCGTCGTCGGCTTCGGGTTCGGCGGCTGGGCTAGCACCGTCAACTTCGTCCGCCAGGTCGACACCTTCGGGCTCTTCACCAGGTGCTACCAGTGCCCGCCGAAGCACTGACACACGAGCACTAAGATTTTTAACTGCTTCATTGCCTGTGCGTGCATGCTTGAATTTCTTGAGGAAACATGTATGCATAGTCGTAGAGAGAGTCATCAAGATTAATTATGAGGAAGAGGGTGTTTCATTTCCATGTCGCCGTATGTATGACGATATGGTGCTCTTGTCGGTACGTGTGCAGTATGTATGCATGTATGTATGGATGGATGGATGGATGTGTGTATCTCTCATTAAGAAGATATATATTGATGGAATTAATTGTTACATCTGAGTTGTAGCCATGTCAATTCAGGTTGATATATATTTGATTTTTTTTTCTGGAGAAAAAATGGTCTTGTTTGGCTTATCAAATCCAGGTTGTACTAGTACATTCCGATATAATGTTCCCATTCAGATGCTTGAGCTGCTTTCCTTGCTGATTTAAAAATTCTCATAATTGTCGTTGATCCAACAGCCCATTGTTTACAAGCCTCTTCGCTTGAGCTTATCAGCGAAGAATCAGCCCTACTTTTCAGCTATGGAACATTATTTTTCTCTCACAACAAATCAGCTTTACAAATCAGCCGGAGCCACAATAAGTCCTGCCGAACATTGCCGAGTGTAGAGGTGCATGCGAAGGTATGATCATTCATGATGCTGGTCAATGATGATATCCATATGTAGGGTAACTATAAAATCACATGGCACATGCCTGTAAAGTCGTCACAGTGCAGCTTATCTGGCTATATGCATGCATGCATGATATGGACTTTGCAGGACAGGAGGAAGAACCTGCATGCATACATGGTCTGGTCCACCATTCTGTCCTACAAAAAAGGTTGCTACTACTGTAGAAAGATCAACTGGAACTGACAGTGTGTGGCTGCATGTTGGAAAGGTAATAGACTGAGGCAAGCTGCATGTATGGTCCTGGTCCATGCCTGGCTTTTGCTGTGAAGAAAGGACTAGCTTGTATGAGATCACATGATTTTAACATCTGGTCCTGAAAGCTTATGATGCTTGCAGCCCCAGTTCAGACTGCAGAGAAGGTTCAGGACTAAACAAGTGGTGCCTCTCATGTGGTTGCATGATGGACTTTGGAGGCTGGGGTCCATGGTAAGTCAGTCTAGCATATCACAGTTAGATACTTTATTTTACAGCTTCGAAATCTTGGAGAATTGATATGAACAATGAAATGAACAACCTGTAGTCAAATTACAATTCTGACTAAAAAAGGATGATATAAATAAAACCTTTAAGACTGAATGAAGGTGAGTTAGTTGGTAAAAGATAAGAAGTTTACCACTCTCCTGCAAAAGGAAGCAACTGCTGCTAGGAATCGAAAGATTCAGTCAGAGCATTCCTGCAGTCTACACAATTCAGCCGGACCTCCATTGCTCTACAGAAACGTCAAAAACCAGGAGCCAAATAAAAGATCAGGAAACGATCGAGTAAGAACACACCAAACAGTCCAAGGCAGGTGAGCATGTGCCACTGCATGCGCACGCCTCCATCTCCATGGAAAGCAGCTGCTCTGAAGTCTGATGCGAGCAAGGAACCAAGCGGCAGGTGCCAAACCAGTCTCGGCAAGCTGCCTGCCTAGCTCTACGTGCCTATGTGGAGCTCGTCTGTCGCCATGCATGCCCGCAGTAGTAGCATCCAATCAGAATGCAGTATAGTAAACTCCAGGTGCCGGTAGCTCCGGTCAACATGTGTTGGAAAAAGGGTTTTCAGCAGGTGGGGCCAGAAAGAACTGGCGGAGGCCTTCACCTGGCCGAGTGCGGCGAAAGTGTGAAAGATGGAAAGTGGGACCAAACCGGTTTCATAAATGCATTCAACCACCATCCTTTGTACAGAGTTTGAGTTCTCATTTTATAGGATACTGCTTACTAAGGCTACTTTTTATAATTCTACCCCAGTACATCCTCGAAATATTCCTATCCTAATACAAACCGCTAGGAGTATTTTGGGTGCCTTCTTCTTCGACCGCCTTTGCTTGATGGGCCGCTATCTTGAGTCCCCTTGTGGCCCACGGCCCGACATCGCCGCCCTGCTGGATAAGAGGTTGAGCCATGAAAAGGTGCGTCATCCAATTCAACGCACATCCTTCACCTCATTTTTCTTGATGTCTCACTCCTATAGAAAAAGCTACCACTACTCCCACAGAAATAGCTAACCACTATCACTTATGTCGGTTGCTTCACTATCGCAAGTATTATCATCATACCATCACTGCTAGTTATTGTTAACAACTGACAATTTTACTATATATCAATGTTGGTTATTGTTTACAACTGACAATGCTGAATTTTAGTAGACTAATAGAGATATAGCATGTAGACCAAAGAAATAAAATTAAATCTAGTTAACTCTCCCCCTTTAACCTTTTCTAGTGCCTAGCCCACTCCCGTTTCTCTCCATCTCTCTCCCTCATTCTCCCTCATACTCCGCATTTCTCTACTCTCTCTCTCTCTCTCACACAGGGGCATGGCGGGGCGTGGCGGGGAATGACACTCATATGCATGGGTGGTGGCAATACAGGACGCTCAAAGGTGGTAGTCCATGGGCCCTCCGGTTGCTACGATGACACCACGTCATGGTCATGGGAGGCGGTCGCATGGGGCGCTTTGCATCAACAGTGCTGCCTCTCGAGGCATGGGTGGTGGTGTCGCGGGGCCCATTGGCAGCTGCATGTGTGGCCATGCATGTTGGCGCCTATGGTACCGCCTCTACACTAGGCGTCAGTGATGGTGGCAAGTTGAGTAGTATTAGGCGCAGTGGCGCATTGGAGGGTGGCAAGAGCGATCGGCAATAGATTCAAGTTTTTTTGTTGTGAAAAATAGGCAACAATGTCGGTTGCTGACTCGATAGTGATAGGATTGACTAATACTAGCGCTTGAAAACTGCTGGTTAGAAAAACCGGCAGTAACAAGGGTTTGGCAATCGACAATAATTAATGCCGATTATGGAGTAGTGTGTAGATGCCCAGATTTGATTCCCGAGCTGCTAAATAACTTTTGACGAGTTTGGTCACATTATCTCTTTTATATGTACGATTCAGCTAGTTTACATTTACCAACGATAAGGTGCAGTAGTTCTGTATAAGGTGCATTGGTGCAGTAGTTCTGAATAAGCTGCTAAATAAGGTGCAGTAGTTCTGAATGTGAACGAAAATAAAAATAAATGGATAAAGAAATTATAAATCGTAAACTTAGACTCAGCAAGATCGAGCAAACAGGTAATCATGGATCCCTTCAGATTGAGGACCATGAATCATTCAGGTCCTGGCATGCCTGCCAATCCACGGACAGCCAGTGCAGTACCACACCAATGCAATCAGGCAGGCAAGGACACAGAGGGAAAACATGGATTAGTCCAGCGCTCGCCAGCTGCTAAGCACAGTTAAGTTAAGCAGATGCATCAGCGTGTCAAACCTGACAATGCACTGCAGCGTGATGAGCAACACAGATAGGTTCCCTCGTGTCAAATACTCCTACCAGATCTTCCGGGGAGCCCTTGAGCATCAATATAATAACAATAATAATGGTTCCCTTTTGTAGCAACAGCACGTGCTTACGACCATCCGTGCGGCTTACGGTTCGTTGTATATAACAATAATTCGTGGGTCAAGTCCAAGCATAGGCATGATGCATTGGTGATAATTGACAGAAGATGTGACACCAAGATCAGATTCTTCTTTAGGCTGTCCAAGAACATATATGTGATCTAATAAGGTGTAGCTTAATGTGATGTCAATAATGTCATAGTGGTGTATAGGCATGATTATTGTTGGTTTTGCGGCATTTGAAGCATGTTTGGGATGTTCAGTAGCTGAATAAACAGGGTGAAATGTTTTGTCACACTTTGGAAGAAATCGCGCAGTCCGTACGCATGCGCCTTCTAGCAGTACGTATGGCATTAAGCAAGCTAATATAATTTTTTTAATAATGAAACAAAGTACTAGCCTCTACCGCAAGTAAATATAAATAAATAAATAAATAAAGAATAATACAGGAGACCCCAAACCACATTTTAATGCATGTTTCCTAGGGAAAGAATTCATCGGTATGACTGATGAGATGGTGCAGAGCTTACCTACATGATTTGGGAACCAATCAAAAGATCCCTAATAAAATCTACAGGACGAAAAAAAAGAAAGCTTTAGTGAATTTTGAATATAGAGATTTTTCAGAGCTTTTAATGCAGTAAATCTCCAAATTAAAATTTCCGTGTCCTAATGATTGATTTAATAACCATCACGGAGGTTGTCAATTTTCTGAATCTGTGGCGCGGAGGGAGGGGAAACAGTCAGACAGACCAACCTGGGAGAGCGAGGAGACGGTTGAGAATGGGAGGTGGACAAGAGGTGACCCTGACCCAGGGAGAAGGAAATCGGCGCAAGCGGAGGATTGCTGCGAAATTTCGATCTTGTGCCGCAATTGCGTCGGTCGACGAACCACGAGAGGATGGTGAGTTGGTGACGAGGCTATGGGCTGGGCCGCACGGTGAAGATTAGAGAAAGAAGAGACGAGCAGACAAGCTGCGGTGTTCGAATCATGGGCCCTGTTGTAACATGGGAAAAAGGCCCATGGGGAGTTGTTTTTTTTCCACAAACTCTAATTAGCGACTTCTCGCGCTCGCAGTGCGCGACCGTGCCGATGCGGCCTGGCCTGCTTTTGAGTGGGCTGGCATGCACCCAACGCGGCCGCGCTCACGCACATGGGCCTGACGTATATGCAGGACCTGCGCACACAGTCTTATCCGTCATGCATGCAGTTGTCCACGAGACCTGCTTGCTTTTCTAAGCATATTTATTTTGCTTTCTTTCTTTACAAAATACAATAACTTTCTTATACTTAGTCCGTTTTTAGTTTTATTTGCACTATCGTGTTTTTAGGATGAGAGCTATAAAACTAGACCCATAATGCATATATTTTGGAATTTATTTTATATAGTGTTAACTTATGTTGTATGTATAGTAGGTACTTGTGTTTTTTATATAGTGGTATTGAAAATAACTTGTCACATGCTCAAAAATATAACTTGCTACATACTCGAAATTTAACTTGCCACGCACAGGGTCATGCTGCTTGTAGTTTTCTTTCAGTTTCAGTTTAATGAGTTATGCGTTTGATTTATTCAGTTTTCCTATCGGTTTTATAAGTTTTGATTTTAATTTTTTTCGGCTTATGTGATCCTTTTAGTCTCATTTTTTAATTTCATTTTTTTTCTTGTTTTGAATTTCATTTTTAGTATTTTATGTTTTTCATTTTGTCTACTTTAGTTTTTCGTTTCTATTTGTCAATTTTAGTTTAATTTTCAGGTTGCCAATTTCAATTTCAGTATTTGTTTTTTTATTGTGTCTACTTTAGTTTTCATTTTCTATTTGTCAATTTTAGTTTTTTCTGGTTGTCAATTTCAGTTTTAGTTTCTTGTAATTTCAGATTCATTTTTATGTTTTCATTTTTATTGTTTTTCATTTTGTCTACTTTACTTAACAATTATCACTACATGACCCACTTTTCCATACAGTTATGTGTTGGTAAATCTAGGGTTTTAACAACACATTTTGTGTTGGCAATTGTGTCATCTTTTAGCGTCACATAAACTATCGCCAAAAGTACCGTAAGGCTACACCTTATGTGTCGGCGTTTCTCCTCCCAATGGAAAAAGTGTCAGCAACAGTTTGTAGACAAAAAAAAACTGTCGTCGTAGCCTAATGTATCCACTGTCGAACTGTCGTCAAAGGGTAGGCGCAGAATGCCAAATGCGCCTGCGCGGGACATTGAAGGAAAAAAAGGTCGCGCGCCAAAATAGAAGACGGGGCGGGAGAGAAATATTGAGCCCACTAAAAATAGAAGTCGCTAGCCCAGTCCGCCCGTCCACCCACGCACTCACACCGCCCAAGCCGCCACTCCAGCCCCACCTTCGTACGCCGCCCAAGCCGCCGCTCCAGTCCCACGCCGCCGAAGGCCAAAGGAGCCAGCGCCACCGAGCCCCCCGTCGCCCCAGCACGCCGTCGCCCCAGCTCCCCGCCGACCCAGGCCGCGGCACCAGCCCCGAGGCCCCGCCGCCCAAGGGACGGACGCTGCCACTGCACCAGCCTACCGCCGGCGAGCAAGAGGGCTGCCACCGCCGCATCCCTGTTCCCCTCCGCATCCATGTGCGTCACCTTTGCATCTCTTTC